AAACATTTGTTTACAATAATTTAAAGATGAATCAGAAATAATTTTATGGACATTTATGCAGATGAGTCAGGAAAAGATTCTCAAGATAGCTGATCTTTGAAGATTTGTCCAACACCCTTTCAGGTAACGGTCTGGTTTAACTCTTTGTTAGACAGAATTTTCCTACATATTTCCATATATGTTGAAAAGTCAAAATTTGTTATATTTTATTCTTCTTTTGCGAACAAAGTGACCTTTCTCAATACAGACAAATTGTGATTTACACTAATTTTCATCAATACTTAACCAACAAGAGTCAAAACAGTTCTTTTACATAAACTGGTTTATTCAATTTCATCTTATTCCACAGTTTTTCATATGTTCTCAAGTAAAAGCAATTACATACAGCTGAAAGCAGTTATCTTCCTGACATGCTGTATACTTTGATCTGAAAGCTAGTCTAATCAAAATTAGGGTTAACAGCATATTGAATATTATGAAGATTGAGTACGTTATATTGAAACTATTTGAAATATTCAAGTCGGCAAGTCACATGAGAACCACGGGCGATATAAAGTCACGGTGGAACGAAATGTATCAGTACTACCTTTTCACTTTGTTTGCGTTACGTTGGTAGTGTGATCAAAAACTGATCGCTTTTTGTAAGGATATGTAACAGCCATTTCCAAAGCAAAATATTAATGTGCTCAGATCACAAACATGTTCAGATCGGGAAATTATAATAAAAAAAAACGGGGATATTCCTTGTGGCACTGGAAGACTAGTCGTACCACAACCATCGTAAGCAAAATGCAGCGTTTTGTAACAGGTGCGATTCTATAAACACAAGTGTTAATGACAAAAGCTTTCCATGTATCTAAGGCAATAGTACGCAACATGGCTAAGAAGGATCCCTGTCTGGAAAAATGTAACACAAGTCACATGACAAGTTGCTTCCACATCATATCCGCGCATTCATCGCGTACCTTAAGCAGCTGGAAAATATGAAAGGGTTACTCATGCCAATAAAGTCGCCAGAAGCGGCGCCTAAGGATTTCTTTGCATGTTGAAACAGGAGTTGAAAAAAACGTCGTCCTCATACACTAGATGACTTATAGAAAACATGGACGAAATTGTGGTTTGCTTTTGTCATGTCAGCCTTACTATGGAACCTTTTGCAATGGAAAATACATAGCGGAGCTATTGTCAAGATGTACAGCCTTTAGATAGAGTATGACCAGACGTGATGAAATGGACTGTTACAACGTGATGAAGCTTCAAAACCTTTTTTAACATGACGCACTCAACCTCTCTACTTCAAAACCACCCATTACTAATCTACAACAGGCTGACCGTGAACGAAGTGATCCTTGGGTTAAACTGAACAGTGTTGCGACTCTGGTAAGTCCCCTCATTACGTACTAAAGCTATATGCCGACAATAGGTTCAGAGTAGAAACATGCTGCTGTATAGAAGTACTAGATGTTATGCTGCGGTACACTGAAATTTAAAAAAAAACAAAAAAAAACTCGAGCGCTTGAGTTTTGGGTCTTTTTTTAAAATTCAATGTACCTTTTGTATGTGATTCTGTGTGCGCTAACTCTTTTATCAGAATAAATACTGCAGTACGTGTTATTGTAAACTGTGTATCATCATGGTTAAAAGCTAACTTGTTGATCTGGAAGTAATGCGTGTGTAAACATGTAAGTACAACTGACTGTAAAATACATTTTCAGTAACATATTGAACATGTGTTATACTAGGCTTCACTTGACACGTTTATTATGACAGACTTTACGTAGAATATATATATAGTTACGACAGCAGAAGTCACGCGACGTTTGAAGCATGAGTGCTGGAGTTTCTAGAAGGATCATGTCTCTTCCTGGCAACTCTAGTCTTTTCTACGCGCCCTCTATTCCAGTATGTAAGCGCATCAGATAAAACAAGACAATTAATCGGAACTGGAATAGCAGACAGAGAGATTGAAGATATAGACAGATAATCGAGCCAAGCCGTAAGTAAAGTGTATAAATCATTGTGAATTATAGCGTGTGTTTAAGTTAAAGTGACTGTGGAAATTAAGTGTATTGAGAAACAAATAAACTAATTTTCTTTAAGAAAGGACTTGTATCGCTGAAGTTTTTCGGAAAGAATTTTTACGGGAAATTAACAAACGACCAGAGACGTAACAATATATATATATATATATATTCAGTGTCTTTTGTGAATGGGCCATTCTTACTTTTGATTACGGTAAATAAGAGAACATTAGCCTTTCCCAAACATATAGGAGTTACACTATATTGATAAGAACACCCAGAGCCCCCCTGCTAAGTTTGGTCCAAAACTTGGGGATGAGTTTGAGAAGAAACAAATTGACAAACACAGAATAAGTGAATATATATAAAGATTAACTATTACTAGAATTAGACGTTGTTGAAAACAGTATAGAGCAGCAATGAATACAGCTTGCCACGGCTTAAATTATCTGATGACAGCCCTAACAGACAGGAATTTAATGAAAACTAGCACAAAGCTCAAAATGTAGACTTCTACTTAACCGTGATCGCATGACACCTTCTAATACAAATCTTATTTGCTTGTACTTTTATCTCTGGTGGATCACTGTTAAGTTTCTATACTGACAATATTGAAATCCGGGGTTCGATTCCATCTGATAGACAGAGTGCATATAGCCCTTCATGAAACTTTGTACTAAGAAAACAAGAAGAACTTGCTTGTATTTTTAGACTTTCAAATCACCATATGGTGATTAGCTATTACATTATATTTTAAGTTCTCTTTGACTGCCCACCCCCAGTGGCAAAGCGGCAAGTCTGTGGACTTACGACGCTAGTAACCGGGTTTTAATACCCGTAGGGAGCAGAGCACAGATAGCATGCAAGTAGACGATGTGTTTTCTACCTTCTTATTTTAAAGTACGAATTTTTTTAAGTTTTTGTTTATTTTAGTTATGTACAGTTTTCACATAACATATGGTCAAGAAAGTCGCTAATTTACCTTTGTTCTAGTTACCTTTATTCTTAGTCATCCTTTGTAGATAACACCTGTTCTGCCCATGGGTGGTAGCTGTAGAACTCATCATCATGACAGGTCTTTAGGTATGAAAATTTAAGAGTGATCGGAAATTGAAGAATTTACCTTCATCATGCCCATCGTTTGGAAAATGTACATGATAGACTCCAGTGGAAAAATAAGTAAGTGGATCAAAGGTTCCAACACTGGAAACAGGGTGGGATCTAAAGATTCTATAACCAAGAATTTGTATAGGAAGAATACGGGAGTACCTTGAAAAGAAAAACATTTTTACTAGTCTGATACCGAAAATTCTACCAGACTGGTGCCCAAACTGAGACCAATACTGAGAACAAATTTTATTAGTAGATAACCATGTGTTTGTTTAAAGTGTCTTACTGATGAATACTCACTGGTTAGTGGTTTTGATAACCTACATCTTATGCATGAATTCGACAATAGTGTCCTCTAATGGTAGGTTACAACTTACTTATACTTGAAATGGCATTTTGTAATGGACGACTTCTGTCTAGAAAGTTTGGACTACATTTCGTGCTGCTGGCACAGATCTTCACCTGGTTAAATTATCTAGACTTTATCAGGTAGAAACACGGCTGTAGTTGTGGGCTTCATGAGCATTTAGAGCACAACTTTAGAGGAGAGTTCCAGTAGGGATATATTGTGACATCATCATAGTTGACCTGTAGTTCGAGCAGGAACCTTCCTTAGGTTTCAGTGTAAACGACCACGTACGTAAGTAACACTTGTCGCTTTGGGTAGGTTTGACATTATCGATTTAAGAAAATAATGTGATTTAGTCAGTCTTGGAGATCATCTTGAGTGAGTCGGTCAACTTGGAAGTAATTTTTGTGGGAGTATAGCCAGCCTTATCAATTTACAACCCTAGTAAAGGTAGATTACACAAACTATTGCTTTGTATTGTATGAATAATGATTGTTTCATTGCGAATTCGTGTCCACTCTATACATTTCTTTGTGCAAACTCAGTCATTTCATGAAAGTTCAAATTTACTTTGCAATACGTCTTCCCGAACAAACGTTTTATAGTGGAACTACCTTGTTTACTCTTTCGGGAAATCTGTTTTAACTGAAATTATCACACTCTTACGAATGGTTATTGCAATGGCAAGCAGTCTTTAAACTTTCTTTGAGCTGGTGAGCATATTATTATCAACTGTTACATTTTTTAAAAGACATACTGAATTTATATTTTTCATAAATTACTGTTTTATAATCGAAAAGCAATGTTTGAATGAACTGTAAATAAAATCCGTAAAAAACTATGTCAGTGTTCTTGATGTCAGTATAAGCTGATGGATTTCTTCAGGATCACATAAAATGTCTAAGAGAGAGAGAGAGGGGTATGGGAGGAGGTAATGTGACTCTTGGAGTGTAGTATCCTTATTTCCAAAAATTCGTCATGGCTGTTTAACTTTTCAGTGTAATGGTCATATTTAACTTGAAAAGGCTACTTTACCATACAATCTTTTGCCATCCATAATCTTTCGCACGTTGTTAGCAAAAAATAGGTTTTTATCGTGGGTGTAAAGTAGGTTAAATATTTTGAAATTATATTTATGCCTATGCTTGGCATAGCTCCGTGATGAGAGAGCGGTAAGTTTGTAGACTTACAACATTAAAATCCGGAGTTCAATCCCCCGCGGTGGACACAAATAGCTCAATATGACTTTGCTCCGAAAAAAAAACCAACAACAACAAATGTTTGGCATAACATGTGGTTTCGTTTCAGCATTTTTTAAAAAAAATATAAGGTACTATGTAAAGAAAAAATATATTTCAGAAATAAGCTTTTGAAATATTTTTGCAGTGTTTGTCAAGTAAAATCAGTTGAAAGAAGGGGGGAAAAAAACAACAACAAAGTATTCTGCGCATGCGTATAGTTAATAAGGTGCACAGCTGAGTGCATTCGAGTTGGTTGATAGGCTTTACGTGTTTATGACATTTGTTCTTTGTTTAACTTTCAGTCTTTGTTAGGGGTGAAGCTTAGTACGAAGTGGTGAGAAGTTAATGTTATTATTATCAGATCGACAAATCTAATGTTTAAGTTATATTATTGTATTATATTTACCAGTATAATGAGTCTAACTTTTGAGCTATTGAAGTTACGGTTAGCGATAATTGTATAACTATATGCGATGTTGTTGTCTGTGATTTTACATAACACGATAGGTTCTGTAGTAGGCTTAACATTGCCCTTGTAGAACACTATATATACCTTAAATATGGTGTTTTAAATATAGCCTTTACAACCCCAGGTTAGACTTTAAAAAACGTAAGAGCCTAAATTAGAATTTACTTAGTTAGACAGGATCTAGCTAAGTAATATTTTTAATTTAGGTTAAAAATATTGATACTGTTTATTACTATTTTTACTACTACTAGTAGTATTATTTATAATAAAAATTAATAATAATAATAATAATACTTGATAAGAGGAATTCTAGCCTAACTGTAACAGGTTGATGTGCCACTTGTAAACTTTCTTATAACTGTTTACATATAAAAGGGGTGCCCGGCATGGCC